CGCTGTGCGCCCTGCATGAAGGCGCATGCTCCTGCGACGACCTTCGGGCTATAAGCGGGTCAAGCGGGTCAAGCGGCCTAGTGGCGGTGGTTGTGGGAGACGAAAGCGGTAGGCAGAACGTGCGAGAGCATGGGAGCAAAATGGTCGCTGCGGCCATGGGCACTCGTCGCTGTCTCCCTGCCTCTCCTCCACTCCCCATCAGCGGCGTGCATCCCCGCATATCGCTGCACCTCGCGCTACGCCTCCTGCTGTTACCGGACGCACCTGGTGTCGCCTGCTACAGTAAATGACGACGCCGCACTCGCCGCAGCGAACGCGCCCATCGCACGGCGACGCGCACACGTGGCACTGCCACGTCATCGCGACGCCGAACCCAACCGCGATAGCGCAGCGCTAGGCGCGCGCGCTTGCAGCGCGTCCTGAGCAGGCGTCCGTAGGGATGGCGAGGGCCCGGACGAAGCTGCGTCCCCGAATTCTACTTTTGAGGCGATTTTTGAGTCGACTCAAAATAATCCGTGTGTAATGAGTCGATTTTTGAGTCGACTCAAAAATCGAATTTAATCCGTGTGTAATGAGTCGATTTTTGAGTCGACTCAAAAATCAAATTTTTGAGTCGACTCAAAAATCGACTCATTACACATGGCGAGGGCCCGGACGAAGCTGCGTCCCCGAATTCTACTTTTGAGGCGCCTCAAACAAAACATCCACACGAACTCGCTTCTCCGGCTTTCAATCGTTCACGCCGAAGCCCCTCCGATGGACCTCGACGACCGGCGGGCGACGTCGTCGCCTGCTGGCGCTTGCCGTCAGTCGCACAATGCGACGCGCGACGAAGGAGCCGCGCGACGAAACCCCCCACTCCTATCCGACGCCCACGTGATTCAAAATGGGGTGACCGCATACCCGCTAAAGCCATATTTGCACTTCTTGCTGAGTTCACCGTCATAATATACAAAGCTACTATTTGTACCCGAAACCCAAATGAGTACCCGAGTATCTTTACCCAAATGGAGAAACTGTACCAACGACAATTGCGTGTGTCTCAAGTATCCCAAATCTGAACGCGCCAACCAAAGCGGTGGCCCGCATCTGCGCAGCTGCGCGCATTCCACACCGTCACGGGGCGCTCCGGTCAGACGGGTGTGTCCATGTCAAGTAAGGCAGCGCACTCGAAGAACGTGAAATCCGCGCACGAGCAAAGCGAATCACGCATGTGAGTCGCTCTTTCGGGAGCACCGAGGCACGAAGCGCATGTCATTCCCAGCGCATGTCATTCCCAGCGCGCACGAGCCGCCACGCACACATCAGAGCGCGCGGCGAGGGGTGGTTGCGCATTTGAGGCTCTCTTTTGGGAGCCGTTGCACGGCAGTCACAGCGGAGGGCAGCCGCGCCCCTCGTCCGATGACACATCACAGCGCCTCCCGCTGCTCCTAGTCCATCCACGCCGCGCCGCGCATCGCAGGCCGCGATGGACGCTGCGGCGGAACGCGGGGAGCTCAGCGACGCGGTGCCACCGCTGCAGCACCTGTGCCTGCGAGCCGCCCTCAGCAGCGCAACGTGGCAGCGCCAGCCGCGGTCGCTCGAGCGGCTGCCGTCTCCGCTGGCGTCCGCGCTGTTGGCGGGGCTGCTCGCTGCGGGCCACATGACGCCGCCGCTGCTAGAGTACGCTTGTGGGGGATTGGGGCTGGGCCGGGCTGCTTGTGGGTTGCTCGCCTTGGTGCGGCTGCTCGCGGCCGGGCGCATGACGCCGCCGCTGCTCGAGTAGGCTTCCCGGCTGCTACGCTGCTAAGCTGCTACGCTGCTACGCTGCTACGCTGCTAAGCTGCTACGCTGCTAAGCTGCTACGCTGCTGCCACTCTGACCCCGCACGACGCGTGCTCGCCCTCGCCCTCGCTCCTTGCCCCCCCCGCACCGTCAAGAGCCGCCCTCCTCGCCCTCGTCGCCCATTCATCTCCTCTCCTCGTCGCCCATTCATCTCCTCTCCTCGTCGCCCATTCATCTCCTCTCCTCGTCGCCCATTCATCTCCTCTCCTCGTCGCCCATTCATCTCCTCTCCTCGTCGCCCATTCATCTCCTCTCCTCGTCGCCCATTCATCTCCTCTCCTCGTCGCCCATTCATCTCCTCTCCTCGTCGCCCATTCATCTCCTCTCCTCGTCGCCCATTCATCTCCTCTCCTCGTCGCCCATTCATCTCCTCTCCTCGTCGCCCATTCATCTCCTCTCCTCGTCGCCCATTCATCTCCTCTCCTCGTCGCCCATTCATCTCCTCTCCTCGTCGCCCATTCATCTCCTCTCCTCGTCGCCCATTCATCTCCTCTCCTCGTCGCCCATTCATCTCCTCTCCTCGTCGCCCATTCATCTCCTCTCCTCGTCGCCCATTCATCTCCTCTCCTCGTCGCCCATTCATCTCCTCTCCTCGTCGCCCATTCATCTCCTCTCCTCGTCGCCCATTCATCTCCTCTCCTCGTCGCCCATTCATCTCCTCTCCTCGTCGCCCATTCATCTCCTCTCCTCGTCGCCCATTCATCTCCTCTCCTCGTCGCCCATTCATCTCCTCTCCTCGTCGCCCATTCATCTCCTCTCCTCGTCGCCCATTCATCTCCTCTCCTCGTCGCCCATTCATCTCCTCTCCTCGTCGCCCATTCATCTCCTCTCCTCGTCGCCCATTCATCTCCTCTCCTCGTCGCCCATTCATCTCCTCTCCTCGTCGCCCATTCATCTCCTCTCCTCGTCGCCCATTCATCTCCTCTCCTCGTCGCCCATTCATCTCCTCTCCTCGTCGCCCATCTCCCCCCCGCCATTCATCTCCTCTCCTCGTCGCCCATTCATCTCCTCTCCTCGTCGCCCATTCATCTCCTCTCCTCGTCGCCCATTCATCTCCTCTCCTCGTCGCCCATTCATCTCCTCTCCTCGTCGCCCATTCATCTCCTCTCCTCGTCGCCCATTCATCTCCTCTCCTCGTCGCCCATTCATCTCCTCTCCTCGTCGCCCATTCATCTCCTCTCCTCGTCGCCCATTCATCTCCTCTCCTCGTCGCCCATTCATCTCCTCTCCTCGTCGCCCATTCATCTCCTCTCCTCGTCGCCCATTCATCTCCTCTCCTCGTCGCCCATTCATCTCCTCTCCTCGTCGCCGCCCCTCGTCTCTCTCCTCGCCCCTTCTCAGGCTCTTCGCCCCTTCAGCGGACCACGTCCACCTCTCCTGCCCGCCCCTCGCCGCCTCTCCCTCTTCGCACGCCCTATCGCCACACTCTCCCCTGCACGACTCGCCTCTCGCACCCACTCTCACCCCCCTCCCCAACCCTGCTTCTCCCTACCTTCCCTCGCCAAGCCCTCTTCTCTCCTCCTCCCATCCTTTCTCCCCGCCTCCCTCTGCTGCTGTCACCCTCTCGCCTCCTCTCTACGCCCTGCCCCCCGGCCAATCCATAGACACCACGTGGCTTGCCTACCTGGCAGATTTCTGCTGCCTTCGCTCCCTCCGCCTCGACAACTGTCGCCTCGTCAACGACTCGGCTCTCAGCATGCTTTCGGGTATGAAGCAGGTGTCCATGCCCTCAGGTGTCCATGCCCTCAGGTGTCCATGCCCTCAGGTGTCCATGCCCTCAGGTGTCCATGCCCTCAGGTGTGCTTCACTGCGCACCGCACACCCGTGCACAGGGCATGGCTCTCCGTCCTTTCCAGGCACTCGGATAAGGAAAGCGCGGCGGGCTGTATCTCCCCGCTCAACGCTTTGCCCCTTAGATTCTGCTTACAATCCATGCCATGCCATGCCATGCCATGCCATGCCATGCCATGCCATGCCATGCCATGCCATGCCATGCCATGGCCCATGCCTTCTGGCATGCTGCTTGAGCTGCCCTGCACTGAAAGATGACTTTTGCTTCGACTCTAAAGTTACCCCTTGGATCTCAAAAGTTACCCCTTGGATCTCAAAAGTTACCCCTTGGATCTCAAAAGTTACCCCTTGGATCTCAAAAGTTACCCCTTGGATCTTATATGGCATTTCACGCACTGGTCCGTGGCGCGGTGACATGCGCCATCACTCATCACTCATCACTCATCACTCATCACTCTCCATTCATCACTCTCCACTCATCACTCTCCACTCATCACTCTCCACTCATCACTCTCCATTATTTCATCCCTCGTGGACCTTGCTGTCTGCTCTCCTCCCTTCATCGCCCCCCTTCCATCTCGCCGCATCTGCTTTCATTGCCCGGCCCTCTGCTCTCCTCCGTCGCCCCCACTCGTCTGTCTCCGCCACTCGCCTGTCTCCGCCACTCGCCTGTCTCCGCCACTCGCTGCACTCGACTGCCATCTCCACACGCCCTTGCACATCTCCCGCCCTCCCCCCCCTCCGCCGTGCCCTCACTCCTCGCTCGCTACCTTCGCCCTTGGCAGCAACACGCATTGCCCCCCTCTGGTCACACCAGCTGCCCTCCCCTCATGACCACCCCTCTGCTCTCCTCTTCTGCCACTGCAATCCCCTTACCCCCCCCCAATTTCCCCCACCCCCCTCTCCAGCTCTGCACGGCTTGGATCATTTGGGCTCCACCAACTGCCCTCTCCTCACCAGCTGCCCTCTCCTCACCAACTGCCCTCTCCTCACCAACTGCCCTCTCCTCACCGACTGCCCTCTCCTCACCAACTGCCCTCTCCTCACCAACTGCCCTCTCCTCACCAACTGCCCTCTCCTCACCAACTGCCCTCTCCTCACCAACTGCCCTCTCCTCACCAACTGCCCTCTCCTCACCAGCTGCCCTCTCCTCACTGCTGCTTCTCTCACCTCCCTCTGTTCTCTCACCTCCCTCTGTTCTCTCAACTTCCCAATCCCCCTTTTTTTTGCTTCCCCCCATCCCCCCAGCCCTGCACGGCTTGGAGCATCTGAGTCTCACCGACTGCCCTCTCCTCACTGCCGCTAGTCTGGCATCCATTCTGCCGCCCTGCCTGTCCTCCCTCCGCGCCTGCTGCCTGTCAGGCACGGCTGTGGGCGTGGGGGAGGGCGGGGGGGAAGGGGGGGTTGCAGGAGGGGGCAGTGAGCAGTGGGGTGTTGCAGTGAAGGGCAGGCGCAGAAGCAAGGGCAGCAGGGCCGGTAGCAGTGCTGCCAGTGGTGGCGGCATGGCAGCAGCAGATGCTCCCTCCAATGCGGCACCCACCGCTGCTGCAGACGGCGTGCCCGCCGTGCCCTCATCCCTGTCCGTCATCTCGCTGCTTGCCCGCGCCCCGCACCTCACGCACCTGGAGCTGGGCGGCATGCACCATGCGCTGGATGACAGTGCCTTTAGAAAGCTCACGGTGAGTGGCAATGCCCCACGTGCCATGTGCCATGCGCCATGCGCCATGCGCCAAGTGCCATGTGCCATGCGCCATGTGCCATGCGCCATGCGCCATGTGCCACGCGCCATGTGCCATGCGCCATGTGCCAAGCGCCATGTGCCATGCGCCATGTGCCATGCGCCATGTGCCATGTGCCATGCGCCATGTGCCATGCGCCATGTGCCATGCGCCATGCGCCATGCGCCATGCGCCATGTGCCACGAGCCATGCGCCATGTGCCATGCGCCATGTGCCATGCGCCATGTGCTATGCGCCATGCGCCTTGAGCCATGCGCCTTGCGCCATGCGCCACGAGCCATGCGCCATGCGCCACGCGCCATGCGCCATGCGCCATGGGCCATGCGCCATGCGCCATAGGCCATGCGCCATGCGCCATGCGCCATGGGCCATGCGCCATGTGCTATGCGCCATGCGCCTTGAGCCATGCGCCTTGCGCCATGCGCCACGAGCCATGCGCCATGCGCCACGCGCCACGAGCCATGCGCCATGCGCCACGCGCCATGCGCCACGCGCCATGCGCCATGCGCCATGGGCCATGGGCCATGCGCCATGCGCCATGCGCCATGCGCCATGGGCCATGCGCCATGGGCCATGCGCCATGCGCCATGCGCCATGCGCCATGCGCCATGTGCCATGCGCCATGTGCCATGCGCCATGCGCCATGCTCTGGATGGTGCTGCTCGTCTGAAGGTGACGGTGAGTTTTCTGCCGGTCCCTCCCTGTGCCGTGCTCCATGCCCCGCACCCTGTGCCGTGCTCCATGCCCCGCACCCTGTGCCGTGCTCCATGCCCCGCACCTCACGCACCTGGAGCTGGGCGCCATGCACCATGCAACATGCACCATGCACCATGCACCATGCAGCATGCAACATGCACCATGCAACATGCAACATGCACCATGCCCCATGCAACATGCACCATGCCCCATGCAACATGCACCATGCAACATGCAATGCACCATGCCCCATGCAAGATGCACCATGCCCCCTGCAACATGCACCTTGCCTCATGTCCCACACACCATGCACCATGCAGCAAGGTCCCAGGCCTCATCCAATCTTCACCTGCGCTCCGCATTCCTCGTCCCCCACCCCCATGTCTCCGCCTCATGCCATCACCTCACCACGGGTGCTGGCGCCACTGCGGCTCTGCACTCACCCGGCTCTGCACTCTCTCTCCTCTCTCCTCCCTGCACCCAACCCACCATCGCTCCCCTCTCTCCCGCCTCTCATCTCAGTCTCTTTGTCATATGTGCCATCTCAGTCTCTTTGTCATATGTGCCATCTCAGTCTCTTTGTCATATGTGCCATCTCAGTCTCTTTGTCATATGTGCCATCTCAGTCTCTTTGTCATATGTGCCATCTCAGTCTCTTTGTCAAATGTGCCATCTCAGCATGTGAGCCGTGCCTCAAGCAGCCACCCATATTCGTTCCGCCCCGCCCCATACATCACCCCCATTCCTATCTTCTCTTCTCTCCCCTCCACTCCCCAGTCCCTCATCCACCTGCGCCACCTGGACATGTGGGGTAGCAGCATCACCGACGCCTCCACCCCGCTCCTCCTCGCCTTCCCTCGCCTGCTCTCCGCCAACCTCTCCTGGACCGCCCTCTCCCATGTGCCCGCCCACCCCTCCCTCGCCTCCCTCCACCTTTCTCACTGCTCCCTCCTCTCCGTCGGTTATCCCATTCCTTCCTCCTCTTCCTCTCCCTCCTCCTCATCTCCCTCCTCCTCTCAATCTGCCTCTCCATCCTCCTCCCCACTCACTCATCTCGTTCTCTCGGGGTCGTCCATCGCTCCGCCCTCCTCTCTCTTCCCGCCTCACCTCCTCGCCTCGATCACTCACCTCGACATCTCCCACTCACGTGGCGCCACACCCCCTCCTCCTCCTTCCCACACCCCATCGCACCCCTCTCTCCCCCCGCCCCCTCACGGCCCCCCTTGCGGGCTGCTGTGGCTGCTGCCTGCCGTGTCCCTCACGCACCTGGACCTCGCCTCTGCCGCCATCTCAGACGCGCTGCTGCTGCACCTCGCACACTCCGTCCCTCACACCGTCGGTGCCTCCCTCTGCTCCATGCCTCCCTCTGCTCCATGTCTCCCTCTGCTCCATGCCTCCCTCTGCTCCATGTCTCCCTCTGCTCCATGCCTCCCTCTGCTCCATGCCTCCCTCTGCTCCATGCCTCCCTCTGCTCCATGCCTCCCTCTGCTCCATGCCTCCCACTGCTCCATGTCTCCCTCTGCCCCATGCCTCCCTCTGCTCCATTCCTCCCTCTGCTCCATGCCTCCCTCTGCTCCATGCCTCCCTCTGCTCCTTTCCTCCCTCTGCTCCATGCCTCCCTCTGCTCCATGCCTCCCTCTGCTCCATGCCTCCCTCTGCTCCAAGTCTCCCTCTGCTCCAAGTCTCCCTCTGCTCCATGTCTCCCTCTGCTCCATGCCTCCCTCTGCTCCATGCCTCCCTCTGCTCCATGCCTCCCTCTGCTCCATGTCTCCCTCTGCTCCATGCCTCCCTCTGCTCCATGCCTCCCTCTGCTCCATGCCTCCCACTGCTCCATGTCTCCCTCTGCCCCATGCCTCCCTCTGCTCCATTCCTCCCTCTGCTCCATGCCTCCCTCTGCTCCATGCCTCCCTCTGCTCCTTTCCTCCCTCTGCTCCATGCCTCCCTCTGCTCCATGCCTCCCTCTGCTCCAAGTCTCCCTCTGCTCCATGTCTCCCTCTGCTCCATGCCTCCCTCTGCTCCATGCCTCCCTCTGCTCCATGCCTCCCTCTGCTCCATGCCTCCCTCTGCTCCATGCATCCCTCTGCTCCATGTCTCCCTCTGCTCCATGTCTCCCTCTGCTCCATGTCTCCCTCTGCTCCATGCCTCCCTCTGCTCCATGCCTCCCTCTGCTCCATGCCTCCCTCTGCTCCATGCCTCCCTCTGCTCCATGCATCCCTCTGCTCCATGTCTCCCTCTGCTCCATGCCTCCCTCTGCTCCATGCCTCCCTCTGCTCCATGCCTCCCTCTGCTCCATGCCTCCCTCTGCTCCATGCCTCCCACTGCTCCATGTCTCCCTCTGCCCCATGCCTCCCTCTGCTCCATTCCTCCCTCTGCTCCATGCCTCCCTCTGCTCCATGCCTCCCTCTGCTCCTTTCCTCCCTCTGCTCCATGCCTCCCTCTGCTCCATGCCTCCCTCTGCTCCATGCCTCCCTCTGCTCCAAGTCTCCCTCTGCTCCAAGTCTCCCTCTGCTCCATGTCTCCCTCTGCTCCATGCCTCCCTCTGCTCCATGCCTCCCTCTGCTCCATGCCTCCCTCTGCTCCATGTCTCCCTCTGCTCCATGCCTCCCTCTGCTCCATGCCTCCCTCTGCTCCATGCCTCCCACTGCTCCATGTCTCCCTCTGCCCCATGCCTCCCTCTGCTCCATTCCTCCCTCTGCTCCATGCCTCCCTCTGCTCCATGCCTCCCTCTGCTCCTTTCCTCCCTCTGCTCCATGCCTCCCTCTGCTCCATGCCTCCCTCTGCTCCAAGTCTCCCTCTGCTCCATGTCTCCCTCTGCTCCATGCCTCCCTCTGCTCCATGCCTCCCTCTGCTCCATGCCTCCCTCTGCTCCATGCCTCCCTCTGCTCCATGCATCCCTCTGCTCCATGTCTCCCTCTGCTCCATGTCTCCCTCTGCTCCATGTCTCCCTCTGCTCCATGCCTCCCTCTGCTCCATGCCTCCCTCTGCTCCATGTCTCCCTCTGCTCCATGTCTCCCTCTGCCCACTACTCCGCCAATCACTCAGGCCGAACATGTTTGTTGGACCAAAAACAGCAACAACCCCCCCGGCTCTTTCCCATCAACAGGCACTGCCTCCAGGCACCACCACGCATGCAGCAACCAGCAGCAACACTGCTACCTCCGCCACCACCACCATCACTCCCACAGCCAGCACCAGCCTCACTCCCTGCCACACTTTCCCCTGGCAGCACCTGTCGCTGGCGTCCTCCCCGGACCTCACCTCCCGCGGCCTGGCAGCGCTGCTGCCCCTGGCCCCTCGCCTTGTGTCCCTCTCCCTCGCCCACACCGCTGCTTCCAACGCCTGCCTGCCCCTCCTCGCCTCCCTGCCGCTCCTCTCCTCCCTCTGCCTCGACGGATGTCCCATCTCAGGTCGGCTCTGTGCTCCCATTACTGTATATGGGTCAGCTTACACACTCACTGACATTTCCTAGGTCAGCTGATGTACACTGGATGCCCAGTATCCCATCTGGGTGCATGGATGAATGGGTGCGTGGATGCATGGCTGCATGGGTGTGTGCCTGCATGGCTGGTTGCAGGCGGCACAGTGGATGACTGCATGGAGGATGGGGAGTTGGAGGAGGGCGAGGTTGAGTATCTCACTACTGTGTCCTGGGTCAGCTGATGACGTCACTCCTCAATGTCCAATCTCCCATCTGGGTGCAGGCGCCACATCGGATGACGGCATGGAGGATGGCGACGAGGAGGAGGACGAGGAGGAGTACCTCTTGAGGCAGCACCTAGCAGGGTTGTACGCACCAACACCGGTACCATCAGCATCAGCATCAGCGGTGGCCGAGGGTGGTTTGGCGCTGCTCGCCTCCCTACCGCTCCTCACCGCTCTCAGCCTGCTGGCGACGCCCCTCTCAACACACGGCATGCTGCGCCTGCGCCACCTCACCCACCTGCACTCTCTCTCCCTCTCCTCCACTGCCCTCAGCCCCCGCCGCTTCGTCTCCCTCCTTGGTAAACCCACCATCTGCGCCTCCCCATCACATCGTTTCCCTCAAGTGGTCCTTGTATTAACCTTACCCTGTGTACAGTCTAGAGAAGCAGGGAGAGTGTAGAGCGACATGCAACAGTCACGGTCTATGGGAGCTCCGCAGGGGTCTGCACCACAGCAAAGCAGTCCCCGAGGGCGAGGGGCTCCTCGGGTGAGCCCACGGGGGGGCATTCAGCCTGCACGGCTCCGTTGGCCTTATCCAGGCAGGCCAACGCGTGGCCCCCTCGGAGTGTCACGGTGGAGCGCTGCCCAAACTGGTGGAGCAAGAACACCGCCTGGTGGAGCAAGAACGCCGCCTGTTGGGTAGACGGATGGGTGTTCAAGTGCCTCCTGGCAGCCGTGCCTACCAGGAGCCTCAGGAAGGTGAAGGTGGCCATCCGCAAGTTTCACGGCTAGGGGTAACACTTGTCAGCCTCTTCCTAACTTGTAGTCATTAATAGTCGGCTGCATCGGTCGCCTCGGAGAACCAGAAGCGCATTCAGGAAGATTTCATCAAGTCCAAGGAGGCGGAGGTTGAGGAAATTCAGTCAGCATCCGCCTCTCACGTGGCAGTTTTGGCGGCCAACCTCGAAGACTACATACAACCCCGAAGCCTCAGCTCCGACCCCGAGCTCACCGTATCTGATGCGGCTAAGGAGGATCAAGGCGTCTTGCATCGAGCAGGCCAAGTCTAAGATCGTCACCGCCAAGGATGAGATCGTCATCCAGGAGCTGCACAAGCAGAAGGCGTGCGAAGCTGAAGAGTTGAAGAAAGCTGCTGCTGCTGAAGAGATGGAGAAAACGGAAACGGCTTCGGTACTCGATGAACTCGTGCTGAAAGCTACTAAGCGGCAAGTCGAGGCGATGCGCAAGGAAGTTGTGGCGAGCGTCACTACGAGCGTCACTGCAAGCGTCGAGGCGAAGCTGACTGCGAAGTTCCAGAAGAGTTTGTCGATGGGATCACAGGATCCAAATCCGCCCCCCTCGTCTTCGAAGCCCAAGGCAGACCCGTCCAAGAACCCGAAGAGTAACTCTTATGGGAACACCGCAGATGTACCGAAGGCTCCGAAGAAGCGAGGGAGAGGCAAGAAGAAAACGAAGTCTCCAGGCGGCAGCGGAGGGAAAGGCCAGCAATCTTCCTCGACTACGGCCCAAGTTCCAAAAAACGGCGGCGGCGGCCAAGGAAAAGGGCCGCGCAAGAACTAACGGCACGAGATCTCGCGCTCCGTCGGTTTGGATGTCTTGACTTTACGGCAGGTGCAGTCACGCGTTCAGAACCGGGGGGTACACAACCTGAGCTCCAAGGTTTTATCTCACGACGAAACCAAGGCGCTCGGGATGGGACTCAAATTCGTACCTACGCCGTCGTGGAACTTTTTCATCGAAGCAGATTTGGATCAACTGCATCGACGGATCTCCCTCAGTCTTTTCTTCAAGGATCAAGGGTCTTCAACTTCATCACGTTTCCGGGAGAAGAATCCAAGCTGGAGACCCGAGCGGGACGCGGTCCCGGAGCATGTCTTCAAGGAGGCGCAAGCTGACCTATCGTTCCTGCTGAAAGCTTGTAAGCCGTCTCGTGGACTCAACCTCTCGCGAGGAGTCTGCGCGGTTTTACGCTCCTTATCACTCGACAGCAACATCGTCATCAAGCCTGCTGATTAAAACGTCGGAGTAATTGTGATGTATCGCGCGCACTACGTTGCTCTCTGCATGGAGCATCTCGACGACGCGACAATGTACCAGCCGGTTCGTCACGACCCAACTCCTTCTGTTCTACAACAGCTGACGGAGCTGAAGGCGACGTGGGGACCTGCTTTTCCTGACAGTCTTTGGAAGTACTTTTTCGATCGTCCGCCAGGAGGATGGCGACCAGCGGCATTCTATATCCTGCGGAAGCTTCACAAGAAAGTACCCGTGGGACGACCGATCGCCGCCTCACACTCCTGGGTCACGGCTAATGTGAGCCGATGGCTGGATTCTCAACTACGACCGCAAGGGCTCAAATAACCGACCTACCTGCGCGACTCCCTCTCTTTGCTAACAAAGCTGGAAGCTACGTTTTTTCCACCAACTGTGCTCCTGGCCACTTACGACGTCACCTCGCTCTACCCAAGCATCTCCATCGATTGAGGGCTCGAAGCAGTTAGCAACTTTCTCCTGAGGGCATCAACACAGCTCGCTCAACCGCTCATGGCTTTCTTGGGATGGGTCATGAGGAATTCTTTTGTGGAATTCAACGGCAGGATTTTTCACCAAGTGCAAGGAACTGCGATGTGAACTCCAGTTGCAGTCTGCTTTGCGGTCCTCTTTATGCGCCGTCTCGACGAGCTGCTCAAGGACAGGTGGACCGGGATGTCACCAAGTTACCACGTCCGTTACATCGACGACGGCCTTATCATCTGGCCAGGCTCGCGGGCTGATCTGGAGGAGTACCTGCGAACCTTCAACGGCTTAGATCCTTCCATCAGGATCACGAGGAATATCTCGGAGCACTCCATTGATTTTTTGGATGTTGTCCTCCACAAGGGGCAGCGTTTCAAGGAGTGCGGTCGTCTGGACCTCGGCACTTTTCAGAAGCCGATGAACAGATACCTCTACCTTCCCTTTTCCTCCTTCCACCCTCGGCACTGCAAGGAGGGTTTCATACGCGCCGAACTACAGCGTTACTTACTGCGTTCGACCTCCATGCGCACCTTTCTTGCAACGAAGCAGGCTTTCTTCCAGCGGCTTCGCGACCAGGGTTACCCCCCTGCTTTCCTTCAACCGATCTTCAAGGACGTTCTTTTCGCGCAACGCGCAACACTACTCGCCAACACTCTCGCAAACCAGCAACTTCGACGACATTCTCTCCCCTCATCACGTGGACCCCTAGTTCTGAAGACGACCTACACACCTGTGTCGGCCCGTCTCAAACTAGGGGTCGTTTTGAGTCGACTAAAAAATCGACTCATTACACACGGATTATACACTGAGAGAATTTTTGTCGCATGGAAGGCTGGGCGTAACTTGCAAAAGTTACTTGTTCGCACGAGACTCCCTGAGCACCAGCTGGCGAGATGTGGGTTACCCACGACACGTCCCGAGGAATGAAGACCTGGCACCTTGGAACTTTCCAGGGTGTTTTGGATTGGCTGACCAGATTTCAGTCGCTGTTGTTCCAACCTTGAAGAAGTTGTTCTCGTAGCGCAGTTTTTGTTTAAGAGCTTGCTTGTAAACTCACTTTTATAATTCCCACAGCACTGACGAAGGTCTGATTTGGGGCCTGTCCCAGTCAGCCGAAACTAGTTTGCGTTTTAATCTTCTAGTGAAGTTGAGTTCAGAACTTCAATTTCTTGCATTTTAAACAGGGGTATCTTTACCTACTGTTACTCTTTTGCTAAAGTTTTCCTTTTCACTGCAGCCCACCCTAACGCTTAATGGCTACAGGTGGCCATCCGCAAGTTTCATGGCTAGGGGTAACACTTGTCAGCCTCTCCTAACTTCTTCCTCATTATGCCCTAAACGAGCCGTCGGCCTGCCTCGGCGATCCGGGCCTGGACCGGCCCGGGCGGGCCGGGCTCCAGAATGAGGTGGTCTTGGGGCCGGGCTTTGACGTACTCCGCCCGGCTGTGGTAGAGGCCGGTCTTCTTTGCCGCGTCCTTTGCGGGCCAGGGGGTCTCGGGTGCCGATGGGATCGGCGATGGTAACATCGCATGTCTGGAGCCAGGATTATGTGTGGCCTGCTCCTCGCGTATCTGTTCACGTTTTATTATCCCTCTCACTCCACCCCCTCTCACTCCACCCCCTCTCACTCCACCCCCTCTCACTCCACCCCCTCTCACTCCACCCCCTCTCACTCCACCCCCTCTCACTCCACCCCCTCTCACTCCACCCCACCCCCCCTCTCACTCCACCCCCTCTCACTCCACCCCCTCTCACTCCACCCCCTCTCACTCCACCCCCTCTCACTCCACCCCCTCTCACTCCACCCCCTCTCACTCCACCCCCTCTCACTCCACCCCCTCTCACTCCACCCCCTCTCACTCCACCCCCTCTCACTCCACCCCCTCTCACTCCACCCCCTCTCACTCCACCCCCTCTCACTCCACCCCCTCTCACTCCACCCCCTCTCACTCCACCCCCTCTCACTCCACCCCCTCTCACTCCACCCCCTCTTACTCCACCCCCTCTCACTCCACCCCCTCTCACTCCACCCCCTGTCACTCTCCACTCTCCCCTCTCCTTCCCCCTCCCCCCTCCTGCTGCAGCCTTCTGTCCATGCCGCCACCTGCTGCTCTCCTCGCCGCACATCACCGCCCACCACCTCCCCTCCCTCCGCCTGCACCCCTCAGTGCGCCTCCTCGACGCCTCCCTCCTCCCCGCCTTTTCCCCCCCCCACGCCACCACCCTGGCCAATCAGCTGGCGCCACGCATCACTGTGGTGCACGCCTTTGACAGGGGGAGCAGCGCTGGGCTGTGGGTGCTGCAGCAGCGAGCGGGAGAGGGGAAGGGGCCGCGCAGGGGAAGAGGGCAGGAGAGTAGAGGACGAGAAGGGATGGTAGAACGAGGGCAGGGGGGAGGAGCAGAGGGAGGGGAGTGGAAGGAGGGGCCGCGGGGGCAAGGAGGGCAGAGGGAGGAGGGTGCTGGTAGCAGCGATGGGAAGGGAGAGTCATTTCACAGAGGTGGGGGGAAACGGTCAGCTCGCTCCAATGGGGGTAAGGGTCAGCGTCGGCATGTGGTGCCATGGGGTGGTTGGGAGGAGGTGATGGATGGGGTGAGGGGGTGCAGGTGGGAGGGAGTGCAGTTAGCAAGAGTGTCCCATGTGACTTGTTAATGCCCCAAGTGAATTTTCGGTGCCCCAGGTGAAGTTTCATTGGCCCAGGCTGCTCTCTCCAGCATTCATTGTGTGACATGCAACGAGTGCAGCGACTCCCCACCCTACTTGCTGAGCTTCACTCTCTCTGCCACGATATGCCCTTCACTCACCATCCACCTTCCTTCCTCTCTCTTTCGTTGCCATTCCCCTCCCTCGCCCCTACCCTGCAGATGAGAGGCGCAGGTTCTCCCGGGCTGAGCTTAATTCTCTGCGCCGTGCTGCACAGGCGCTGCAGCTGCCTGTGCCATTGCCACTGCCGTTATCCCGCAACTAGCCATGGAGGTTTAGTATTCTGTAGCGTTGCAAGAGCTGCGGCGTTGTCTCAATCTGGTGCTGTGTTTATGGGATGGGAGGCATTGTCATTTTCTCCCATTCTTTCCTTGGAAGTGTTTCAGCGCCATTGAAGTGCTACCAGCTTCTTGTGTGATTCGAGTAGACTTTCAAAGCAACGACAGCACCACCCTCTGCACAACTTCTGTTGCCTGCAGTGTCTATAGCGCACATCACTTCTTGCAACATTCACCACCCGACGCTTTTTTTTCATGTGACGCGTTATAAATGGCTACAAGTAACACATCAACCTCTTTTGCAGCATGTTTTTTACTCCCGCACACCCCGCGTCCATCTTTGCAAACATGCTTCCATGTGCCGTGCTATGCCTCAACGAGAAAGGTTAGATACACTGCACCAACTTCACCCAACCATCGCAAGTTTCTCCCGTGGTGGAACTTAGGCTGAGAATAGCTGTAGAATCTTTTCAGCGGAACGAAGCGCTTGTAACAAAGTGCTTGATAGCACAGCGGAAGTCTTGTTGAGTGAATCCTTGTGCTGTTATGTGAGAACAAGTGATTGATTTTAGCAAAGGGATACAAAGGTTTATATAATAATACAAGAGAATACGAAGAGTCTAACTGATGATGCACTTCGAGGGGTACATGCTAAAATTATATTGAGTTATATAATTGATAGGCTTGGTAGTGTTACTGAACCTTTCTGTATAGGGTACAATCCCCTCCTTGTACCTCTCTCTCTTCCTAGTCCAACTCTCTTCTTTCTCGTCACTTTTGCCTACTCCTAGATCTACTTGCCTCACGCCATTCCATGGCGGCCTTCTTCCTAGTATCCTAGCCAACCTAGCCTCCTAAGTTTAAGAACCTTGAGTCCTAAGCTTCTTTGAGAGTACATTCCCTTTTACGACTCATTAAGGGCGACTCGGGTAACCACCAGGCCTCAGGATATCAGGGTAAAATACCCTTACGGCCCTTACTATAAGGCTGGGGTTGGTGTTGGACCCTTATATTTAAAAGTGGTTTAGTTTTGGACCCTTATGAAAAAAACTAAATTTGTACCGGACCCTGATTTTGAAAAGTGGTGCAGCGTTAGCACCCTGATGCGGAAAAGTGTTCTGTAAAATCACCCTTACACAATCACACATGCGATCCCCCGCTGTAATCATTGATCCCCTTGGCAACCTGTAGATTTCGGCTAAGTCCCCCCCCAATCCGAGAGTCATTCCTCCTATACCCCCCGCAACCCAAGATTTCGGCTAAGTCCCCCACTGCCAAAGGCATTCCTCCCACAGCCCTCGAGCGACCCCGAAAAATTGGTGAAGTCCCCCACTGGCAGAGACAAAGCTACTGCAACCCAGAGGATTCGGCTAAGTCCCCCACTAAGAGAGACAGTCCTGAAACGAAAAGAAAGCCCTGAAACTACGTTGAAATTACAGGGTAGCCTGAAACGAAAAGAAAGCCCTCGACGTGATATGTCAAACCATCTTTTCCCCCCTACCCATTTCGGCGAGGGAATGTCGCGCCTACGAAATATCGGCGACTTGAATTTACAGGTTTTTACCTGGCCCCTGCCCGCGCACGACTGGGATCACGTCGTCAATTTCTTCTGCTAATGGTTTACGCTTTTTATGGCTGCCACTCACCCAAGAATTCATGCGCACAGTTACAAAACCTGTCATCTTGAATGTATAATTCGTGTTGGTAGAGTCGTATCCGCCACTACATTCGTTAAAAGAAATTAAAGAAAGAAAGAAAGAAAAGAAAAAACCGAGTGGGGCACTAACGGGAAATCAGGTCGAGACCAGGAAGGGTCTTGGGAATGAGGTCGTATTTCTACAAGATAGTAATCAGTACCAGCAAACCCGAAATGGACTCTGAAACGCGAAACAGTGAGGTCCGAGGGTCAAAACGCGAATTCCTGTTCGGTTTGATTTGGTACTTCGCGAAGTTTGCTTCCCTGGTACTGAACGCTCTAATTTAGAAATACGCACTAAAAGCAAAATTACCGAGGTGCGACATTCCCTCCACTTCAGCACTAACAACCAAAAATCTTGGTGCACCCTGTCGAGTGCCACCCAAGGCACGTCGTCACATCATACAGTATCTACAACACGTCAGTCGTCTGATCATGCGAGATCCTGTAACTACAGTAAAGTGTAAGGCTGCGCTGGAGTTATACCCTTATGTGAAAAAATACAAATATTTAGGACCCTTATATCACAAAGTAGCTAAAAAAATACCCTTACAGAAAAAGTGGTAGCAAGCGAGTACCCTTACAAGAAAAAGTACTTCGAATCCTATCCAGAGGCCTGGTAACCACCCGTGCTGTAATACCTGGATGGTTATTTGTCCTTGCTGTCGCGCTGACTTGACTCTTGTACTTCTGACTATTGGGTTGCGGTCTGCGACCGTTGCCCTTTCGTAACCTCTTCGAGGTGTCGTCAACAGGCCTGACGTTAAAAAAAAACCCCACCTGAGCTGTCGAATAAAAAAAAAAGTTTACCCTGAGGGCTCAGGTTTCAAAAATTGCCTACCCTGACTTGTAAGGGTTCAGAAATCTGGAACCCTGAAAATCCCAGGGTTCACCGAGCGCGTTCAGGGTTGCCTTCAACACGAGGGGGGAATAAAAAATGGGGGGAAAAAGGGGAGGGAATCAAACCGAGGGGAGGGGGAGAGCGAAACGGAGGGGAAGGGGGAGGATGGAAACATAGGGGAAGAGAGGAAGCGAAACGGGGAGGAAAAAAGTGGGGGTTGGGGGGTGGGGGAAGTTCGAAATACAGTCGAGGAATGGGAGAAGCGAAACGGAGGGGAAGGGGGGATCGAAACGGAGGGGAAGGGGGGATCGAAACGGAGGGGAAGGGGGGATCGAAACGGAGGGGAAGGGGGGATCGAAACGGAGGGGAAGGGGGGATCGAAACGGAGGGGAGGGGGAGTCGAAACCAAGGAAGAAAGGGGGAGGGAATCAAAACCAAGATGCGAGGGGCGAAACGGAGGGGAGATGGGGGAATCGAAATGGAGGGGAGGGGGGAAACGAAACGGAGGGGGAGTGGGGGGAGCGAAAATGGAGGGGAGGGAGGAATCGAAGTGGATTGGAGGGGGGAAGCTGGGTAATAGGGCGGTCGGAGAAAATTCACGCCCTAGCAGCGCCCCGGCTGGGAGATCTTAGACGTTGATCAATGTGACCATCTAACGGTTTAATTATGTCGAAACGATCGCAATCGATCTTGACCGTTACATTTTCATAGACTTAGCTAATTTTTGTGGGTTGTTGTTAGTGTGTACGGGGGATGTCTGTACGACACATGAGTTAGCCGATTTTTGTGGGTTGCTTGGTGTGTGAGGGAATGTTTGAGGACTTCACCAATTTTTGTAGGTTGTTGCGTGTGGGGGGGAATGTCTCTGGAGATTGGGGACTTCGCCTAAATTTCCGCATTGTGAGCCACATGGATGTCGCACTCAGGGTTCGTACGCGTTACTCCCTGAAAACTCAGTGTTGGGATAACGCAAACCCTGAAATTCTCAGTGTTCACAGACATACAACCCTGAAGAGGTTAGGGTTCAAAAAAGCCCAACCCTGAAAATTAAGGGTTGGCAAAAAAAATACCATGTGAAATCAGGGAATCAGGGTAAAATACCCTGATAACGACAGGCCTGGTCGTCAACAGGGTTTCAGCTAGGATTTAGGGCTGTCTGAAAATCAGACGGGGTTCCAAAGTTTCGTCTGACCATCAGACGAAAAATTTCAAGGAGTCTGAGATTTCAGACGATTTTTTAACGCAAGTCTGAACATTCAGACGAAAAAATTGCCGCAAGAAACTTCGGCACTTGCAATTGAGACTTCGATTTTTCCGTTTCCTCATTCCCTGCTGAGAGCCTGTTCCTACGAACGTCTTCCCATACTTGGACCCGCCTATGAGCGCGTTCGAAGGTTCCTTGTCAAGCTAAAATCGTTTCAGTATCACAATTCTCAGCTGCTTCGAATTTGCTCGCGTTGAAATCGTACTGTACGGATGCGCGCCTGTCTAAAAAAGGCGCGCCTAAAAAGAAGTTTGAAAACAGGGCTCGAACGTTGACAGTCACAACCCTATGTCAGACCACGCGGAACCGCATTGAACCGTTTTGCGTAGAAATTTTACGGCTCTGTAGCGCGCGAGCCTGGGGAGAGAGACCAGGGCCTACGCACTGTATCTGCCTACAGTACCAGGGCCTTGCTCTGTTTGGCGATAAGAGAATCGCACGTAACGTGACGTGTCACGCACAAGCAACCCTCACACGCACCGCCATTGCAGGTATACGGGGGGGAGGGTGTGGGAGGGTCCTCAGCCAAAATTTCATGGTCTAGCTGTGAGGGACTTCATCGAAAAACATGGCCCGAGGGGTGTGTGGGGGAATGTATCTCGCAAAAAGGGTCTTAGCCGAATTTTAGGGGTTGTGCGTGGTGTGTAGAGCAATGTCTCAGGTGTGAGGGACTTCGCCAATTTTTTATTGTTGCGAGGGGTATGTGGAGGAATAACTCTGGTCTGGAGGACTTGCCAGTAAAACTAGCAAAAAAACAAAATAGGGAGGTTGTGTACGGGTGTGGGAGGAATGTATCTGGCACTCGGGGACTTGGTCGGAAAAACTCTTGGTTGTGGGGGACAGAGGGGGAGGGGGGGAGGGGGGGGGGGGAAGGGGGGGTGGGGGTGTAGGGGGGGAGACGAGGAATGTATCAGACGAAAAAATCCGCGCTATCTGAATTCTCAGATGAAAGTCTACACTTAGTCTGTACTTCCAGACGAAATCTTATAGCTTATCTAGACGATCAGACGAATTAATTTAGCCCGTCAACAAATCAGATGAATGAGAAAAAACAGGTCTTATTTTCATACCATCAGACCGATTTCGTCTGATATCTGAGACCCTGGTCGTCAACCTGCGTCAAACGTCGGAGGTACTGTAGCAGGGTTTGACTCGTTGGTCCTCGATGTTGTGGTCTTCGCGTATTGTTACAGCACGCGAGATTCCAGAAATGTGCTTAAGTCCTATTATAATTTCCAATACCCTCCTTCATTTTTGGAGTGTCGATGCGGTCGAGGTTGCTGACGTGTTGTAGTCCATTCAGCAGCATGCAGTACTGGAACTTCGACTTCATCAGCTTCTTGGTCAATAATTCGGTTGCCATTTTGGTGGAGGGGCAGTAGCCCAATTGGAGACATCCCTGCTCGATCTCGTCTTTCACGAAGAAGTAACGAAGACAGATGTGCTGTGTTTTGTTCGCGAATCCACTTTTGTCGGCGATTCTGA